AGTACATATTATTTTTACACTAAAAAAAAGTATACTTGGAGTAAAAAAGTAATAGCCTGCCAAATCTCTTCAGGCTAAGAACGTTCCAGAAACCCAACAATCAAGTTAGTCAAATGCCTTCTGCCAGTTATGACAACTGGTTTTATGGGCTTTGGTTTTTAAACGTTGTAAACTTTCTTTTTTAAAAAAAGATTTATTTATTTATTTGAGGAGGGCGCACGCAAGCATGTGAGTGGGGGCGGGGGAGAGGGGCAGAAGAGAATCTCAAGCAGACTCCACGCCCAGTGCGGAGCCCAACGCAGGACTTGATCCCATGACCCTGAGATAATGAATTGGGCCAAAATCAAGAGTCGGACGCCTAACCGCCTGAGCCACCCAGGTGCCCCTATAAACTTTTGGTTTTTAAACTTTCAAATTTAACACTTTAAATTAACAAGCATGATTTATCTCTGTCATCAGTCAACTGTCATCACCCTTGTCATCAAAGAATGTTTAGTAAGCAGCTTCACTTTAAACAGGGATGGACCAGAAGCAGGTCGAACACTCACTACATAGCCCTCGGCCTATCCTCTACCAGAGAGGAACAGCCCAAGCGAGCTGACAGGAAGTTGGAGCAAGAAGACGGCATCAATCTTCACGGCAACATGGACAAGGCAGAACAGGAAGAAGAAATTCAGGTCATAGAAATAGAGAGCAAACCAGAGTTAACACTAATGGAGAAGATATTTGTACAGCCAAAGATGAGATGAGGTGGAGGAAGGAGAAGTCCAGAACGGCTGGTGAAGGGCAGGCACTGAGCTTTCCATGTTTGCTCTGTGAGTGGGGTAAGGAGACTGAGGAGAGAACGCAGAGGGTAGACCAGACAGACATGATCGTTCAAGAAGTCATGGTCATAGCTGGTAGAGAAGATTTACACACGCACACACACCCCACAACCAAGTTCTATAAGTCACCATCATTCGAATAAATTCACGTAATGTCATAAATTGGGCTTTTGTAAGTGTGTACACCAATTATTCAAACGGGATGAACAAATCATCCCGTGGTTTTGTAACAGGCACCTTGAAAGAACCCCCTCGCATGACCCCTTTCTGCAAGAACAAGAGGATTTGCAGTGTCTAAAACACAAGACACTTGAGCAATCATTCAGAAACCTGCTCACACCTTCCTCACAGCTCTGGCCGATAGGATTCATGCCAGACAGAGCCCAACAGGGCTGACAAGAAAAAGAAGAGTCCATGGCACTCCTGCAAGCTGAAGGAAGAGACCCTGACAGGGCGGAGAGATACAAGGTAAGAGCAGTGAGACCAAGCCTGTGCTGGTGCATGGAGCGTGAGGAAATGAGCCTGTCCCCTCCCCCGACGCCCCCCCCCGCCCCGCCCGCCGCCATGCCCAGAGCTGCAGGGGCAAGGGCTATTGGGAGAAGTGACTCGCCACCAACCAGAGCTGCCATTCAGATTATCTGCCCACCCTTATGACTTTCCTTTGGGTGCAGACATTTGAAACCTCTGCTTGGTTTTCTCCCTTCACAGTTCCCTCTTGCACATGGTGTCCTATGACAACAGGATCTCTCAAAACTTAATGCCGTGTTCGCCACTGAAGGACCAGACTCCTTCTTTGAGGTGACTTCCAGAGCCCTGCCCCCCAAAGTGAATCGTGGGAATGCTACCCAGCTTCCATTTTAATTCAGAACTCAGAACCTCCCAAACATGTTCTCCACATCTGGAGACAAATCATGTACTGTTTCTGCATGAGGTAGTATCAGGCAAAAAGAAACACTTCCCTAGCATAGACAGGCCAACCGAAGCAAACAGTGCCCTCACAAATGCAAGGAACTTAATGACTTACGGAATAGTTTCACACACATAATTCTATTCCATTCTTCAGGTCACCACTCTTCCTAACCCTTCAAGAGCCTCCAACTCCCAACCCCAGCTTAAAACACTTTAATGATTTTCCATTCCCCCTGGTGTAAAGACCAAAATCTTTATCACAGCATCTAATCTCCATGACTCACTTTAACTCACAACACCCTCCTCTGCACTCCAGCCACACAGACCTTCTATCAGCTCCTCAAATGGGCCACAGGACTTTTGCACATGCTTCTCTGGCTATGTTAAATGTTCCTTTCCACCACCACTACTTGCTCCCCCCACCCCGCATTTTACCAGTTAATCCTTACCCTTCCTTTGGTTTTTAGCTCCATTGTTAATTCCTTAGGGAAGCTTTTCCCAATCTCCCTGACCAGGTCAAGTCCCTTTAGGATAGCTGTACATACATTCCTTTCATAGCACTTAACCCAATTATAATTATACAGTTATACAATTATAACCCAATTATAATTATTTGTATGACTATTTGGATACTTTTTGTCTCTATCAGGAGGTTATAAATTCTATAAATTCTATAAGATTATAAACTCTATTTTGGCTCTTCAATCTATAGTGCTAGCTCAGTTCACGACATATATACTCTACAATATTGAATGCATAAATGAATGAATGAATGAACGAATGAATGAATGAGTAATGACCTGTGGAGAGAAGATATTATATCCACATTAGAGAAATATGGAAATTGAGTCTCCAAGAGTTTAAGGGATTTGCTCAAGGAGCACAGGCATGGGGGTTTGATTCTAATGTATTTGATTCCTGATTTCACAGTCAGGAAATGCACCATTCCAAGGACTGGGGAGTCCTGCATGGCACAGAATAGGTCTCCAGTGCAGACTTGCTGCATGAAGAAATGAAAACAATGAATGAAATGAGGAAAGAAATCAATTGTGGACTTCAATACGATTTTCAGTGCAAAGAGAACAGTCTTGGCCATGACATTGGCCAGGTCATATCACCTTTCTAGGCCGGAGCTGAGCTTTGAACTAGATGATACCCGTGCTCTGCAAATCTGAGATTCAGACTCCTCCTACCTTGGGGTTCTAACAGCAGACACCCACACAGGGTGGCTGAGTGACTTATCTGCCCAGACTCGACTTTATGCTTTGGATCATTTTTAATGCATTCAAAGAGCAATTATCACTATGCAACAAGAGGCAATTGCAGGAGCAATTACATCAAGGATAACATATGGAAATTACAAAAACAACAGAAAGTTATTGCAGTGTGTTAAGCATAATAGCAGATGGAGGAGAGTTGTTATAACCTTGACAGTTGACCCTGGGACTTCTAGATTTGTTATATAGTCATATGCAAGGAAGCAAACAACATCTGGCAAAAGGATAACATGTTTTAGTTTTCCGTTGGCATTGTTAAATGATTCAGAAACTAATAAAAGGGAACCATGAATGGTCTCAGTCATCCAGCCAAGAGTTAAGCAGAAACGATAAGGACAAAGGGTCCTTCTTCTCCCAACAAGTGTGGAATTCTCTAACTAGTCATAGATAATATGCTTGTATCCTGTCCTGAACCAAATGTCCCACCAAAGTGACTCACAATCTGGAACTAGCTCACCTTTTCAGGTTCATCCCTCGGCCCTCTCCGACAGTCACCCATACTCTGGCCTCAGAGCTCACTGTGTTTTCAGGACTCCATGAGAAATACCCTGGCTCCTTCAGATCCAGTTCAAACATCATTTTCTCTCTGAAGCCTTCCACAATGCTCCCAAGCATCCCAAGCACCACCTCCTCCAAATCCCCACAGCATTTATTTATGCCCAGGTGGTAGCATTGACGGCCATCTGATTTATGTTATGATTACTGGTCTGTCTGTCTCTGTCCCCTGCCCCAATCACCCCACTAGTTGGTAAGACCCTTCAAGATAGGGACCACGCCTTATTCATACCCCCAGCACAGAGCTGCATGCCTAACATTTAGAAAGTCTATTGAGTGAAACACCGGGCGGGGCAACTAATCAGTAGATGAATTAATCATTAATGGATGAATGACTCCTATTATGTCAACCCATATAATAAAGTTTATTTTATCAGGGAGTTTCTAGTGACCTCACCTGAAACCCAAAGAAGTAACTCCAATGTTAAGAAGGTCAAGCACTTTGATAAGCCAATAATGGCATTCTTTGCATGTATTACCTCATTTAATCTTGAAACAATCCTATGAGGTATTATTATTCCCAGTTTGAAATGGAATAGTTGAGGTGTAAGTAGGTAAGTTACTTTCCCTAAGCCTCAGGGTTAGTAAGTGGCAGGATAGGATTTGAACTCAAGTCCTAAGACCTATCCCTAACACCGGAACACCTCACCACCAGGCTGTCTCCCATCTAGTTATAGGGCCAGTCCTGGTCATTGTTTTTCATGTTTTCATTCACCTCTTATTACTTTTAATTAATGTGAATTTGACTTCCATAGAAACTTTCACGTAAGGATTTCATAATTCTATCTGAGGCCCCTACTGCCTTTACTAACACTTATTATCAACATTTTGAGGACTCACCTTATCCCTCAATTTTAAAGTAAGAAAATTGAGAGAGAGAGCAGTTAAGTAACTTGGTCAAAGTCATGTAACTCATCACGATAAGAACCCAGAGTGACCCCAACCCACTTAACTGCAGTGCCCATGCGCCATCTTGAGCTTCCATCGGGCATCCTACATCACTTGGAAGTTTGCACATCAAGGCATCTGGCACCATTACCCATCCAGTCAATTCCTGAATCAGTCCAATTGCAGGGACAAAATTCACACATGAATGCAAATGCCTTCTTTTTGAAGAAAACAAAATCCACATTTTCTTACATATAAAACGGAGCTCAAATCCATACCAAGCTGTAGTTTTGCCTCGTCTGCTTCCTTGAGGTGGCCTCGATTCTGCTTCCATCACTAGTTTTCCAGGTGAGGAACTGGGTTCCAGGAGGCTGAGAACCTTGTCCCAGGGTCCATGGCTGGATTCCAAGTCTGGACTCTTAACTACTCAACAGATTCTCAGTCCCTGCTGCCACTATTCTAGTCTCTTCTCCCATCACCCCCTCCTCAGGATTCAGGAAAGTTATCCAGAAACAGAATGAAAAACAAAACTAAGTAAACAGAGTACCTGAGAAGGCCCAGTTCAGCTCCGTTCAAATCTTCCATTTTTAGGACGACCATTTCTTTGTCGGTATTTGAAGAATACCTAGTCAGCAAAACAAAGAAACTCAGTCACTTCTATGTCAGAGCCTGGCCCTCCTGTGTGACCAGCAGTAGAAGCTGACCCAAAACCAAAACCAAAACACCTTTCCGTAAGCGAGGTGCCCTGACATGCTATATCGTCTTACAAACCACATCCGGGACCTCATTCCTCAGCTAACGAAATGGCCTGCAAATGCTGTCAGAGTCAGAGGCACCAGGCCAGCCAACTGGAGATGAAATATACATCTCTATGTCATACACACGATCTTCTATAACATATTCGTATGTCCTACAAAAAAGATTTGCCTTTGAAATTTCTACTTGTATTAAATTTTAATGGAATCTCTTAAAAATAGCAGGGAATATGCAAAATCAAAACCATTCATGACCTGCCACGTAAAGTGGTTCTTTCATGTCCTTTCAAGGGAAATCAGATTATGTTTTCTAAAAATCAACTCCTTTGAAATCTACTAAAAAATACAGAGACAAATGTAAAATGTCAAGTGGTCAAATTGAAACTGAGATATTCACTTACTATGCCATACTAGTCAAGTGCTTCTCTTCTGTGGCAAACCTGGTTTGGCACTTAAAACAAACAAAAAACAACAAAAACTATCTCCCTTAGTTGTTCCATTCAATTATGCTCATTTTATTTCTTGCTCTTCATTCCAGTTTCTTTAACCTTTTATGTCCTTTCTCTTGCCACATTCTCCTGGACAGAGATGATTTCTTCTGAATAACATAATAAAAAGAGCTATTCATTAATTTAACAAATACATGTGGTGCACATTTTTATCTCCACTTTACAGAAGAAGCTGAGTGCCAATAGATTACGAACAAGTAAATCACTGAAGGTCACACGACTAGGAAGTGATCAAGCTAAGATATGACCGGAGCCGTGCCTGATTCCAAAGCTGAGAGTCCTTCCACCATTTGAACTCACCCCCGAAGCAGGCAAAGTGGCCAGACTTGTGGGCGGGATGGTGCGTGCCCCCACACTCACTTTGGACTTCTGCCACTCTTAAACCCTAAGCATGTTTTACATTTATCTTAGCTTTAATACTCCTTCAGGATCCTGCCACGTTCCTCGAGGAACAACTGTGTTCTTAGATTTTGTCACCGATGGCTAAAGAAAACACATGGTCTGATTCCGATAATCCCCCTCACCTGGCCCTCTCTGACTCAGGATTCTGAAGGTAAGAAGAGGGGCTTCGGTTGATCTGGGCACCTTCCACAATTCCTTTGTTGATAAAGATTTTGCCTGGTTTCATGTTTTTGTGCGCCATCTCGATGCTCTGTGGGTTAAAGAGAGAGAGCGCGAGCAAGTTGTGAATTTAGAAATCCTGGTGGGATACAGACTTAGTCGATAAGAACAGAAGGGCTCTGTGGACAGTTTCCTTTGTCTCCAAGCTGCCCCTGCCAGGGGATGAGAGCTGGAGAACTGCGCAGCCAGGGTCACTCTCAGGGTGCACAGAGGGCCTCGGGGCTGAGACACTGAATTGCCGTCAACTGGGAAACTCGCACCGATGGGCACCTGAGTGTTCGGGGGCCCCTGCGTCAGGCACTGTCCTCCGGTTCAGGTGGCCAAACTGGGAGTGACTCCCCCAACACTGGACCAGGATTTGTTAACATGTAGGGCATTCCCCTCTCCATACCCATTCCGTCCCCCCACCCTCTGAGGCAAAGTTTTTCGAACTTTTCTAACTCAAAACCACAATAAGCAATACATTCTTCATCACAACTTAATATGCATCGACGTCTGTGTCCTAAAACAAAAGTCCACAAGATGAACTACACCCTTACTATGTGTTTGGCAGCATGATATTCTCCGATCTGTTTTATTTTAGTTCTGTTTTTTCAATGCGTATTGCAACCCATGAAATTGATTTCATGCAGCCAGTCATGAATTGCCAGGCAGAGTCTGGGAAACATTGTTGTAAAGACATGTCTGCCTTTGCCGACTAGATCGCCGGGCTTGGGAGTGGCTTCATGAGAAAAAGCAGAGAGAGACTACATCTCGAAGGCAAAGGCATGAAGAGAACATCAGAAAGGATCCCGTGGGAGTAAATAATAAGCTGAGAGATGAGAAGAGAGGAATAAGAGGCACCCAAGCCAGGTATGGGAGGGGGGTTTGGGGTTCTGGAAGGAGCTCTGTGCTGTCTGCAGCTACCATTGAGGACGTGAGCAATGAGGGTGCGTGTAGAAACAGGATCCTCTGTCATGCTGCTTGGGAAATAGGAGGCAAGATTGCAATTATTTGTAATTACTTTTGGTTCCTTGATGGGTTCCTTTTCGAGTGACTTAGCGCAGAGAACAGACCATGTGGGGCCCTCTCAGTTATAAAGTTTATAAGTGTCCCTTTAGACAACTGCATGAGGCTTCCTGCAAAGAACCGTCCTCTCTCCATCAGTCAGTGCCTCGGAGACCAGAAGCTACACAGGAGTCAGGAACAGAGGCAAGGAAGGAGTGAAGATGCTCACACCGAGATCCTAGAAGGACTGTCTCCATATCACAGCAGACCGATCCTAAACACTTATAGGCGAGGGAAAGAACAGCTCCATCTGGGGCTCTGTGCCTACCTTCACGATGCCATTGACCATGTATTCAAAAGTTCGATTGCTAAACCCTTCACTGGCGATGACAAATACGGTATACTGGAAAAATCCCGCTGGTCCCGAGTGAGTGTGAGTGCCGCTGAGGATGATGTTGTCTCTTCTGTACAGGGAGCCATATTTACTCTGCAGTCTGTTCAGGACCTTCAGGAGAAAAGAAAAAAAAAAGTTAGAACTAAAAAGGATAACAGAGCAACTCACTATGGAAAAGGCTCGGGTGAGGCTAATCGCCGATCTGTATCAATGACGCCCTTCACTCCATGCCTGAGGGTGTTGTCATAGTAACAACATCAGCACCAACAGTCCCCACCAAGGCTGTTTCATGGATCCTCGCTAGGTGCGAGCACAGGGTTAGGTATTACATGCCTTATGTTATTTTAAAATCTTTTTAACAACCCCAAGAGGTAGGTATTTTCAATCTTCTAGCTGAGAGCACGCAGACGATAAAGAATGCGCCCACTGATCTAATAAATAGCAGAGCCACACCCAGATCCGTGGCTCTATAGAACGAGTACGCTTTCCGATTCATTATCCCACACGGAGTATTAGCGCCCGGGCACTGGTCTAAGCACTAGGAATATGTGAGGTTCCTACCCTGATGAAGCTTTTATTCTAATGGGGGAGAAATAAACAAACAAATGAGTGTGTAATGTTATATTATATCATGCAGTGGTGAACGCTGTGAAGAAAAAATGTTTCTGGGTAGGGAAAAAGAGAGTGGTGGGTGTCAGGAAGGAAAACATCTTCTCAAAGATGTTACCTTTCATCAGAGGCTTAAAATGAAGAGCTCAAGCTGGTCATGCAATATACGGGGAAAAGCATCCCAGGGGCAGTGAACAGAATATGTAAAGATCTCTTTATTTCCTCACAGCCCAGAATGAAGAACTTGACACTGCCTGACACATAGCATCACACTTACTGGTCTGGGGGAAGCCAGCCGCTGTGACCTAAGGACACCCCAGCAGCCCTGTGGGGATGCCCGTGTGGAAATGAGCCCAGTGGATGAGCCACCTCAGGCGTCATAGACCCTTTACCTTGGGCAAGCCTTCCAACTAGCCAGCACATGATTCCAACCTCATGGCACAGCAGGGAGGGTGTGTGGTCGCTGTTCTCACCTCAGTCAGAATCACCCAGCCCGCGCCCCCCCCCCCCCGGGATTCCTGAGCCTCAGAAAGGACAGGCCGAGCTTTGCTTTAAGCCCCTGAGTTGTCCAGATGATCTGTTGTGGAGCAAGAGATCAGGCACACACAGAGACCCGGGGAGTGTTCACTGTCCGTGTCATCAGTCCGTGAACATCTCATCATGCATGATACGTGTGCTTGTGGGGCACAGAAACGTCGAGAAAATGACAGGGAGAAATGCCCACTGGTGCCGAGCACCTATTTCTGATTCTGCTTTAATCAGCTTCAATCTGAAATTTGGTATTATTTTGGCTCCCTTGGGAAAGATGTTTTGGCTTTTTTTATGCCAAAAATCATTAAAATGATCTCACGGGGTGACTCTTGGTTTCGGCTCAGGTCATGATCTCAGGGTCCTGGGATCGAGCCCCGTGCCTGGCTCCAAGTTCAGCAGGGAGCCTGCTTGAAGATAATCTGCTGGCTCGCTCTCTCTCGAATAAATAAACAAATCTTAAAAAAAAAAAAAAGTGTCAAATGCAAAGCAACCTTCCTTGGTGAAGGATACTATCACCGGGCACAATGATGAAAGCTCATTATGGCAGGGATGGCCATATGCCCAAGACCACTTACGTACCCAGTCCTATTTATTGGTAGTTGCTCTCAGACGCAGGGTGTTGAGAAGGATTCTGAATCCAAATCTGGGCTTAGCAAAAAAAGAGGGTCTTTTTTGATTAGCAACACTGTCTACCTTGAGTACAGCACACGCAGCGGTATGCTGATAAACTGTCATGAACACGGAAACCAAAGCCCCCCGTTTGAATTGCTTGCCAGTTTCTAGGGTGTAAATACTCCCACCACAGTCAATTTCAAGCTACCAAAATCTAACAATGAGCTCACAAAGCTCCTGAACATTTAACAATCAGCCCTCATGAGCTGGTCCAAGCCAGTTCCAACACACCCCTGATACATAAGGGAGTAGCAGGGACTTATGTACCATATGCCCAACACACATAAATACATCCATTTCAACCTTTTCTATTTGTGAAGAGCTACACCACCCTCATTTACTCGTGTGGCCATCGAATGGGGAAGACTCTTACAAACCATCTTGCCTTGTTAACCAATCCATGCCCCAAACACGATTGCTAGGTAACCACGTCTGTGTACGCAATCCTTTGAAGCCAGGCAAATGTGGAAAGGAAATAGGACATGACCAGACTAACACCCTCTGACCAAGTAGCCCACATTCTCCATCCCAAGAAGTTTCCATGTTGCTTCTGTGTGACCCAACTCCAGCCCACATGCTTCATCACTCTTATACGTTTTTCCACACAGTAATGACAACACTCATGAGGAAGATGCCTCTGTAAGGAGCAGGTAGAATGATCACTGAAGGGATACCACAAAACTCAACTCAAAGCTCTGTCAAAAGCTAATGTTCTCACAGTTCTGTCACCAAGACAAGAAGGTAGTGGGGAAAAAAAAGAACTTCTGGTCAACTTTAGAGGTCCCCTGGCCCTACCCTCATTTTTATTCCCAGAGAACTATAATGTTAGGATTTTAGAATTCAGTGTACTTCTTTGGATTTACTCAAGAATCAAGTCCTTAAATAGATAGGAATTACAGCTCCCATGTTTTGTATCCTAAACTACGATATTGTCTCCTAACAGATATTGTATCCTAAACTACGCTCTCCAACATGAAGTGTGACACATGGGACTTCAAGAAGAAGGAAAGAAAAACTCAATCGTCTAAGGTCAATGCCTGCGACTAGCCATTATAATTAGCGTGTTCCCTACATCATGAGAGGAGGGTGTTTGAACAGAGTGAAGAAGTTACCTGAATGTCTAGTGAACAGAGCTGAATGTCTACAACCACCCCTCTGTGTTCCAGTTCCTATTACTGATGCACCTGAGAACCTGCCATGGAAAGAGCTGGAAAGCCGCTCTGTTCTCCTGTCCTGCCTCACTGCTCAGAGATCTTCCCGAATCTTCATTCCATGCTGGAAATTTCATCAATCCTTAAAGCTGAGACTGAGAAGCTGCCTAAAACCAGGTGTTCTAAAGAAGCATAAGAACACCTGTTTAGCTACATTTATTTTTCACACCTTCTCTTGGATTAACCTGGGATAGGGAAGTGGGTTCATTTAAAGGCCTTCCCGCTGGGTCTCAGATCGCACAGGGAAGTAAAAATAGGAAGAGATGGAGAAATAGTGGACTGTTGACTTCACAGCCTCTGCAGCCCAACACATTAATCCTCTCTCCCCTCCACACTCCACCCCCAAAGTTCACCTTTGACTCTCCCATTTCTTCTCATGACCCCACCATTTCCCCCATCAGAAGCATGGCTGATGCTCTGAGAGAGTAGTAAGTGTAGTGGTAGTGAGTGTAGGTGCCGGCACCCAGATGCCTGTTGTATACACCCAGCCCAGGCGCTTCCTGGCTGGCTAGCCATGCACAAGTGACTCGATCCCCTGCAACTCACCTTCCCAATCCGTCAAATGACATAATAATAGCACCTTCCTCCTTCAGTTGTTTGGAGGATGAAATCCATTAATATAGATGAGGCAATTAGTGTGTGACTCATCATGGGAACCATGCAAGTGTTAGCTCTTATTTCTATTCATTCCCAAATCTCATTAGCATTTAACGTGACATCCTACTACCATGTAGTCTCGCTGCCACCCCATTGCTTTAAGACCTTTGTGCCAGGCTCACGTGGCATAGGAGAAATTTCCAGGCAAAGTTGAAATCCTTCCTGCCCCCCTAGTTTCCCTTTCTAGTTCATTCAGCCTTCCAACGCATTGTAAAACTTCCGTGTATTAAATCTCCTCTGTTTGAAATACCGGGTGTGAGTACCACTTTCCCAACCCGACCCTCACCAGTAGAGTCTTGACATTAATTTAACAAACTGCCAATTTGAGTCCTCACCTCCAGCCTCAGTCTTGCATCAAACATCACTGATTAATCATCCTAAAGCAAAATTGGGTTTGTATTACTCCTCCACCCAAAAGTTTTCAAAGAATCCCCATCACTTACAGAAGTAAAAATAAACTGGCATCCCAGGCCCTCTACAATTATGACCAACATACCTCCCAGATGTATTCCCAATTACATGCCCACATGTGTCCTAATAGCACGGATCCCTGTCCCTTCAAAGGACAGTCTATATTCCTCCCTTGTGTCTCCTTGTGGTCACACCACCTCCTCCGTTTGAGAGCTCTCTCTCCCCATGTTAACCATTTAAAATTCTTCCCATTGAGATAAAGAGGATGTGGTGTATATAAATATGTAATATTCTATTATATACATGTATATAATACACCATTATGTGTGTATATATATATACACCATATATTCCGTTATATTTATAATGTCCCATTATACATATATAATGGAATATTACCCAGCCATAAGAAAATGCAATCTTGCCATGTGCAACAACACGGATGGATCTAGAGAGTATAATGCTCAGTGAAGTAAGTCAGTCAGAGAAAGACGGATACCATATGATCTCACCCATAGATGGAATTTAAGAAACAAAACAAATGAACACAGAGAAGAAAAAGACAGACTCCTAACTATAGACACCAAACAGAGGGTCACCAGAGGGGCAGGGGCGAAACTAGTGAAGGGGATGAAGAGCGCACTCATCATGATGAGCACCGAGTCATGGAGAGATTTGCTGAATCAGTGTACTTTAGTCCTGATGATAATATAAGTATACCGTTAACTATGCTGGGATTAAAAGAAAATAAACTTCTGCCCATCGGAATGTCACACCCACTATGAAATTATTCCCCACTTTGCAGTCCCCTTGTGGTGGTGGTTTTAAACCACTGTGTGCCCACAGGTTCCTCGCTAGCCCTCCCTTTCAGAGGGCATGCTTTGCTTTCCCATCCCTGGGTGTGAACTGGACTTGGTGACTCGCTTCCAATGGACAGAGTGGGCTAGAAGTGCAACTTCTGAGCCGGGTTAGGAGAGGCACCATGGCTTCTCCCTTGCTCTTTCTCTTGAGTCACTAACTCTGGGGAGAGCAGCTGTTTGGGGCTGCGAAGATATGGAAAGCAGGGAATGGAGGCCTTCTGTCAGCAGCCACACAAGTGAATCATCTTGGAAGTGGATTAATCAAGTCTTCCAATGACTGCAGCCTCTGCCAACAGCTTGATTTCAAGACACCCTAAGCCGGAACCATCCAGCTAAGCCAGTCCTGATTTCCTGACCAACAGAATGTGAGATGATGTTTACTGTTTTACACCACTGTATTCTGGGGCTATTTGTTACTCGGTAATAGATAACTAACACACCACCGTACTTTACTCCAGTGAATTATAGTTACTGTGTTTTTCTATTACAGCCCTTCCTCCTCTCCCCAGCTGCGTAGTGAGCTCATAGGAAATGTGGATTACGACTCACTTGGTTATGTCCCCCCTGAAGTGACCAGCAAAGTACCATGCAAAAAAATAGGATAGGTGGTCAATGCATTTTTCCCTCCACGGTAATAGAATCATGTCACTTTTAAGAATGTGGGCTCTGGTATCAGGCATACGTGTGTTCAGGACCCAGCTCTACCATTTGCTAACTGTGTGAATTTGGGAAAGTTCCTCACCTTTTCTAAGACTCCATTATTTCATCCATCAAGTGGGGATAACAACAAACCCACCTCATAGTTTTGTTGTAAGTGTAGGAGTGGGGAGAACATGTAATCCCTTGCTCCTTCAGTGTCCAGAGATGGGGGAGGCTTCCACTCCCCTCTTGGGGAGTGACACTGGAAAAATGTTTCGAGGACCCCTTGTCATCCCTGTCACTGGCCACTTCACACCACAGGAGGAACAGTGTTTAATAGATGCTGACAGAACATGACACCGAATAGAGGACATTTAATGGTCACTGTCCTGGGTGCTCCAGACTTTCTTCTTCCTCACCTTCATGAATATGTGAGCAGACATTAAAAGAGTACATTCTCTTTCTGTGACCTGATCCCATGCAGAAAATACAACTCAGTCAAGTCCAAGAAACTGGCTTAGAAAGACAGACCTGGAAGGCCATGCTCATCACGCTATTCCTCCCTCTCTCTCTGTGCATCTTACTGCTGCCTGCCGAGGACACATGGGCTCCCTTCTGCTAAACCCAACCTTCCCCACAGAGGGGGTAACATGGTCTCAATTCGGGGAAAATCACAGAAGAGCCCGCCATGGCCTACAATAGATCTTAAAGAGTAAATAACATTTTATTCTCTTTAAATTTTATTATGGAAATTTTCAAACACATACAAAAATAATCAGAATAGTATAATGAGACACCCATCTCCCTCTCACCCAACTTCAGCCATTTATGGCCAACCTCATTTCGATGTTTACTTCTCATCGGGCTCCTTGCACCTCAACTGTCTAAAAACTTGAGGGATTAGTGAGTAATTGGAGCTCTCAGACTTCTAACAAGGAGGATTAAATAAGAGAATGGATGTGAAGGTTGCCTCAAACATAATAAGCTTGCAAAACACATTAACAGTAACAATGACAGGGTGCCTGGGTGGCTCAAATGGTTAAGCGCCTGCCTTCGGCTCAGGTCATGATCCCAGGGTCCTGGGATCGAGTCCCACATCGGGCTCCCTGCTAGGCAGGGAGCCTGCTTCTCCCTCTGCCTCTGCCTCTCTCTCTCTCTCTGACTCTCATGAATAAATAAATAAAACATTCAAAAAAAAAAAAACAGTAACAATGACAATGAGCCATCAGCAGAATTGAGAGCAAGTTTGATCAAGAACACCAAGACTGGAATTATTTGCTAGCCAATTATCTGAAGGTGTCAAGAGCTTATAATTTGGAGGGCAGTAGAAACTCACTGGATGAGAAGCCAGAAGGGCTTAGTCACTGTCACATTCACTCCCAGAGCTTTTCTTTTAAATCATGTCATTTCATTGTCACCTCAGCCACTTACCTCAAGCCTAAGTCGTTGGGATACCATGCCTATGTCGACACTGACAAACACCACTCGATTTGACCCATCGGGCTCCGCCATGATGAAAGCACGACTGTACAGCCTTGTGAGAATGCCCTGTGCATTCTGGCCAGTCTTACTGTAGCCCATCTAGGGAGGAAGAGAGAGAGAGAGTCAGAGCCACTCTGCCTCACTCCCCTGCCACCAGAACCGGGTACAACCACACAAGAAGAGACCACTTAGGAAAGGCGAGGTAAAACACAATCCATGGGACACTGTGGCCCTGCGTGGGATAATAATATGTGTTTTCAAGAAGAAAGCCAACATCAGAAAAGACACTTTACACTTCTGTGTGGAAAAATGCAGAGTAGCTCTCAGTTTGGCAGGAGCCATTCACAGGCCTATGGGCAAGGAAAGCGTTGGCTTGGCTCCAGAACTTTGTTACCATGTCACAGACCTTCCAGGGGTTTCTGTTTTTTCTCCTGCCCGAGGTGCTACTGAAGGAAGTACTTCCCCTACCATCATCCCACATTCCCAGAACATCCTAAAGACTGAGGCTCCCTCCCTTTGGTTGTCTGGTGTGTAATGTTCTTTCTTTCTTTTTCTGAAGAAAATGAAAACTACTGATGTACTGTATGGTGACTAACATAACATAACAAAACATAACAAAACAAAACAAAATAGAATAAAAGAAAAGAAAAGAAAATGGTTTCTTTATGATTCAATAGTCTCTACTGAGGGCACCTCATGCTGACTTTTATCTTGTTGACTGTCCCTCAGCTAAGTCAGGCCAAATGTACCTATCACAATCCCCCTTGTCACCTTGTCATAAAGCCTACCCATGAAGTCTTCAGAATGCCCCTTCTACTGCTTGCTTTACCCCTCATAGGAGTGTTCACTTAGGGTTCGCTTTCCAGAGCTACTTCTCAGAACAGACAGTAGAGAATAACTCCTAGACTCTAAAAGATTATTTGGTAGGAAGGAGAAAATCTCATCAAACAACCTCACGTTCTAGCTTCCTAGAGAAGGATGGATACGAATGAATGCATCCACCATCACAACCAAGAAGTTGCATGCCCACATCTAATAGGCCACACCGGACCCACAGAAGCCTTTTCCTTGGCCTACACAGTGTTGGCCCATGCTAGGTTTCCAGTTTTAACTAGGGTTGCCTATATTTTCCAACTGAGAGATTTAGATCCTCAGGTCTCTGATCCAGAGATTTCCCAGCTTCTCTTGAAAAAACTTTAAGATAGGGCAGCCCTACATGGCAATAATTGCTAAAGCCATGCACTTTCCAGTTATACCTCCCACTTCCCACTGCCCCCCAAACTGAGGATTCACTAGACACTTATCAGCTTACACTGGCCTGCTTCTGTCATTTATGGTACCCTGTGGTCTGTGAGTTTGCCAGCCCTTCCACTTCCATTCATAAAAAATGGTCAATTGGCTTTACAAAGGAGTTGCAGTTGAACATATGGTCCCTCCTTATAGTACAATAATCATAGTGTTAGACAGCAGTGAAATCAATTGAAAAAGTGAGAAGGAGAAGAAGAAGAAAATGATGATGATGTAATAGTCAGAAATAAGTGTAGGATGCGAGTAATAACAATACTTGCTTCATTCTCCCCCAAGGAGCCCATGATTTACCTACCAAGTTGATATCTGCTACTTGTCCTGTGCAGTCAGCTCGCCCAACACCAATATGGTAGCCACTAAAGTTCTGAAAGAGAGGAGGCTCTGGAGTAGTAATCACGGGAGGTGCCTGGGTGGTTCTAGAGCCACTGGTGATTGTCAAGCCTTGAGTGGCTGTGGAGCCCAGGATGGTTGGGGAGCTCGGGGTGGTCGAGGAGCTCTGGGTGGCCGGAAAACCGGAATCTAAAAACAGAATAAAATATTTAAGGAACAACATTTCAGTCCACTTATTTGTTGGCATCAATTAGAACACACTGGTTCAGGTTCCTAAGGAAAAATCTTTATATATTCTCTTATATTTAAAATATATGGTAAAGGAGCACCTGGGTGGCTCAGTTGGTTAAGCGTCTGCCTTCAGCTTAGGTCATGATCCCAGGGTCCTGGGATGGAGTCCAATGTCATGTTCCCAGCTCAGTAGGGAGTCTGCTTCTCCCTTTCCCTCTGCCCTTAGGCCCACCCTGCTCATGCTTTCTCTCAAATAAATAAAATCTTTGGGGGGCGAAGCAAGATGGCAGAGGAGTAGGAGACCTGGATTTCATCTGGTCTCAGGAATTCAGCTGGATAGGGATCAAACCATTCTGAACACCTACGAACTCAACAGGAGATCGAAGAAGAGAGTAGCAACAACTCTCTGAACAGAAAAGCGACCACTTTCTGGAAGGTAGGACGTGCAGAGAAGTGAATCCGAGGTGATATTTGGGAGGATAGACGGCGGGGGAGGGGGCCTCCGTCGGCCGCTTCTGGCAAGTGCTAGAGCCGCGGAGCACAAAATCGGAACTTTTAGAAGTCGGCTCCGCTGAGGGACGTCACTCCAGTGGCTAAGCGGGGGGTGGAACCCTCGCGGGACAGTGTGGTCTCAGGACCCTCGGGGTCACAGAAAGACCGGGGGTGCCTGAGTGCGGCAGAGCTCCCAGGGATCGGAGTGGGGAAGCCGGCTGCAGAGACGGAGCCGAGGCGCGGGCTCTCAGCTCGGGGTGGCCATAAACTGTGATCGGTGACAGTCGGGCCACTGCTCCTCCAGCAGGGACCCAACAAGCGGCAGAGCCGGGGAGACTCCCCTTCCCCCCGGGGAGGAGCGGCGCGGGAGCGCACCGCAGGGATCTGCTGGGTTTGGAGACTCCACACGGGGTCGGGTGCCAGAGATAGAAACGCTCGGTCACAGGCCGGGTGAGCACGGAGTGCGGCCGGAGACCGGGGACACGGGAGTGACTGACTGCTTTGGGGAGCACTGAGGAGTGGGGCCCCGGGTTCTCGGTTCCTCTGGGCGGAGATTGGGAGGCCACCATTTTCACCCTGGTCCTCCAAAGCTGTACCAGAGCTTGCAGGGAACAAAAGCTCCTGAGAGCAAACCGGAGCAGACAGCTTAGCCCGTATGGACAAGGGCGGGGGCAATTCCACCTCTGGCAAAGACATTTGGGAACCACAGCAACAGGCCCCTCCCCGAGAACATCAGCAAGAACAGCCAGCCAAGACCAAGTTTACCAATCAAGGAGAAAGGCAGAACTCCACCACTAGGGGAATACTGCACATAGAATTCATGGCTTTTTTATCACGATTCATTAGTCTTCCAAAGTTAATTTTTTTTAACTGTTTTTTTTTTTTTTTTTTTTTTTTTCTTTTTCTATCAACATCTTATCAATCCCTTTTTTAAAAAAACATTTTTATTTTTCATTTTTAGAGTCATATTCTATCCCTTCATAGTAGTTACCCTTATTTTTGGCAGATATATATATAAGTTGTTCTCTCTTTAAAATTTTGAGATACAGTTTCTTCTAACATACCAAAATATACCCTAAATCTCTACTGTATGGCTTTGTTCTAGTCTCCTGCCTGATCACATTCTCTCCCCCCAACTTTTTCTTTCTTTCTTTCCTTTTTTTTAATCCTCTTCTTTTTTCAAACATCTTATCAATTCCTTTTTTAAAATTTTTTATAATTTTCATCTTTACAGTCATATTCCATCCCTTCATATCAACCCTTATTTTGTACATATATAATTCTTTCTTTCTTTAAAATTTTAGGAGGCACTTTCTTCTAACAGACTAAAATACACCCAAAATCTAGTGTGTGGCACTGATCTATGCACTAGCCTGATGATATGTGATCATATTCTGTTTTTTTTGTTTTGTTTTGTTCTGTTTTTATCTTTTTCTTTTTTCTCTCTCTCTCTTTTTTCTCTCTTTCCCTTTCTTTTCCCCTGGTTTCAGGTCTTTTCTGATTTGATTAGAGTATATTTTCTGCGGACACTGTTAACCTGTTAGCATTTTGTTCTCTCATTAATCTATTCTCCTCTGGACAAAATGACAAGACGAAAAAAATCACCTCAACAAAAAGAACTACAGGTAGCACCGTCTGCCAGGGACCTACTCAATACAGACATTAGTGCGATGTCAGACCCAGAGTTCAGAATCATGACTTTAAAGATACTAGCTGGGCTTGAAAAAAGCATGGAAGTTATTAGAGAAACCCTTTCTGGAGAAATAA